CCCTGGGGTGTTCCTGAGTGGGTTTTGGGGTTCCTGGGAGGGGTTTTGGGGTTCTTGGGAGTTTTGGGGTCCCCGGGCTGTTCCCAGGGGGTTTTGGGGCTCACGACTCCACGTGGTTCTCGAAGCTCAGGATCACCGGGAACGGCGACGTCTTGAAGGCGCTTTCGGCGATGGCCTCGATCACCTCCTGCGAGAGCGGGGTCAGGGGAGCCCAAAGGGACCCCAAAACCCCAAAAACCGACCCCAAAACCCAAAAAAACCCCAAAAACCGACTCAAAAACCCCAAAAAACCGACCCCAAAACCCCAAAAACCCCCAAAAACCGACCCAAAAACCCCCAAAAAACGACCCCAAAACCCCCAAAAACCGACCCCAAAACCCAAAAAACCGATCCCAAAACCCTAAAAACCAATCCCAAAACCCAAAAACTGACCCCAAAACCCAAAAACCCCCCAAAACCGACCCCAAAACCCACAAAACTGACCCAAAAACCCCCAAAAAACCCCAAACACCGACCCCAAAACCCAAAAAACAACCCCAAACCCCCCAAAACCAACCCAAAATCCTAAAAAAAACCCCAAAACCCCAAAAAAACCGACCCCAAAACTGACCCCAAAAACCCCAAATGACCCCAAAACCCTAAAAAACGACCCCAAAACCGACCCCAAAAAACCCCAAAACCCCTGAAACCCACCCCAAAACCCCAAAAACCCCCAAAAACCAACCCCAAAACCCCAAAACCCACCCCAAAACCCTCAAAAACCGACCCCAAAACCCCAAGAACCAACCCCAAAACCCCAAAAAACTCCAAAAACCGACCCCAAACCCCCAAAAAACCCCAAAAAACTGACCCCAAAACCCCAAAACCGACCCCAAAACGCCCAAAACCGACCCCAAAACCCCCGAAACCGACCCCGAAACCCCAAAAAAAACCAAAAACTGACACAAAAACCCCAAAACCAACACCAAAACCCCAAAACTGACCCCAAAAACCAAAAAAAACCCAAAAAACAGCCCCAAAACCCCCAAAAAAACCCCCCAAAAAACCCAAAACCCCCAAAACCGACCCCAAAAAACCCCAAAAACCGATCCCAAAACCCCAAAAACCGACCCCAAAAAACCCCAAAAAACCGACCCTAAAACCCCAAAACCAATCCCAAAACCCCAAAAAGCCCCAAAAAACAACCC